ACCCCACACAATTTCCAACATACGAGCAATGAAGCGGTGACAAAAACACATTTATAGCAACCATGCACAACGTTGTGCCAGGGCTTGTCTGCTGCTTAGATCACCTCATATTGTCCTCGAAAAGACACTCATGTCATCCAGGTGAGGGCTCTTGACCATCCCAGAAGACCTATATATCGATCATGTCGATGCTGCCTTAATTGGCATTGCGGATTAAATACTCCTAGACTTCTTTCATCCACCCACATCATCCCAGAAGGTACAGAAGATGAAGAAACCAATATGCTTGCAGACAACTAGTTATCCCCTTCAGTACCATGGCTATAAGTTGGGCCCTAGGCCATAGTGCTAAAAATGTGAACTAGAATGAAATTATTCTAACATAAGCATACTACCTTGCAAACCTATAAATTATCATATTATGCTGCTACCTGAACTAAAATCAAGTCTGGGCCCAATTCACTTCTTTGTATTTTGTTTCCATTGTTTCTATCTTGTACATGTACATTTTGGCAAGAAACATATGCATTGTAAAACAACTAAAGAATAGCTTTTACTCATATCTATTTTGTGTGTACCCTTCGATAATATTAGGATTAAACACAATAAAGGGACTAAATGTTGCAACATGTCATTTGATGCATAGTTTGCTATACATACCATAAACCACTAATCCTGCAATCTAAAATAGTAAATTTGACTTTTACTTATGCTTTGAATAAGGCCACTCATAGCCTTGTCCTTTGTGCTGCCATGCCAATCTCAATTGCATTGCCACCATCTAAAATTAAAATGAAAAAAACACACAAACCAAGTAGGTGTTTTAGCAATTTAGGCAAAATCTTAGCATAAACTCTTGAAATGAATCAGCACCAATTTTGGGTTGATCTATAGTTTTCTATCTTGTAGTCTCCTATTCTTAATTTGCAGCCATGAAAATTATAACCTAGCTCTAAACAGCAAAGATAAGAGGCCTAACTTCATTGACACTATGCTATGCTTTCTCTTGAGGTTCTTCACCACCTAACCATTCCACGTAAATTAAGTTCCCTTAACCTTAATATACCCTTCAACTAACACATTAACCATGGCTTTCTGCAGCTCCATGATCTTGTTGTCAAGATCACTGTGCCCTGTTGGCCTATGAGGAGAACAGGATAGTCTTCATGGATGCCCATCCAAATATTACAAAACATAAAATGGATGTACATTTTATGGACAGCGAATTGCATCATGCCATGTGGCTACATCTCTACAAAATTGTAGAATTTGACAGAGAAAGCTATACTATTTGTAATGTTTGTAGTGGCAATTGTAAAATTTAATGGACAAACTTGATCAATTTGCTTTAAGTATTTATTGCATATGTTAATGGTCATGAACGCCAAATATAAGAGGAGTAGATTTGATTATGTGAAAAAGAAAAGAAGAAGAATTAAGAATTTATTTCTTCTTTGTTTTTTTTGTGTTTTTTCTTTCTTTTGTTGATTATCGGGCTCCTGGTTGGAGCCAGACATACAACAGCCTGATGTTGAGAGGTACTGGACATGAATGTTCCCGTTTCAGAGGCAAACGGCAAAGAAATTAAAACTATTTTATCTTTGAGAATTCCATAGCTGGAAGTTAAGAGAACTCTTCTAGTTTTTGAAGGATCAAATGGCAACGTTATTTGGATTGCCAGTTGCGTCAAGTGTTCGCTGAACTTAATTCGACTTCCAGGAATCATGGACAGCGTTTCTCAACGAGAGGTACTCAAATTTAATCTCATCCAGAAAGTTTTTCTTCTCTCACAGCTTTGTTTCCAGGCTGATTGTCATCCTTGAGGCCATGGCACTTCTAAGTTTATGTAATACTTCCCTCCGACCAGGAAGAGTTAAATCCGTGGAGGCTGTCCACAGTAAGCCATCATTCGCATGCTGTCTATCCTCCTGAGCAGCATCGTCTAGTCTGAAATGGCCATGAGCAAGGCGGAACCACGCACTTGGAACGCTACAAGATCCCTCCAGGTTCTCTTTCAGGCTTTGAGAGCTTGAGCATCATGTTTTGGCAGTCTTGCTAGGCCTTCCCTGTCAGTTTTCAACATTAAAGATAGAAACATAAACTTTAAGGGTAACGGTAAACTACTTACTGGAAATTTTTTAAAGGTGATGATAGTTTTACTATGTTGCCAGATCCAATGGTGCACACTTGCACAACTCTCTTTGTGGAAGATTGTTCCCAGTAAAGTTAATGTTGATTGATCTATCATGATTGATGTTCTAACAACACTTGGCTTTGGAGAGGGTGGTGGGCGTCACTGTGTTTGCATCAGTGGCATGGGAGCATGGTCAACACTTCTCAGTTTCAGCCGAGTTGTACGCTCAAGCAAAAGACTAAGGTGATTCAACCAAGCTAAGAAAGCTCTGTGGTGCAGTTAAAAGTGATGTTACTTGATTGTTCAATCCTTGTGGAGTGAGTGTGCCTCGGCCATCACTGTGGAGATTGTAGCCATGCTATCTACGAATCCTCCCTGAAAGCGTCCACTGTAAGTTGATGTATGAAACCAAGTATATATGACTCTTTTTAGATTTTGTGGTGCCCATTTAGAAGCATAAGATTCTAACTCAATATATGCTTTACCACAGTGAGAGCTTGACATTAGATTTGAACACATGGATGACTTGCATATTAAAAGATTAAAAAAAAGTGTTGCAAATTTTGCAAGTGGCAGTTGAGTTAGTATAATATATTAGAACCAAAGCAAATTTACTATCCAACTCATACAATAGTGAAAAAGAACTAAAACCAATATTAAAACTTATCCAATGTGGCTTTGGTGTGTGTCCATTTGACTGTTTGAAAATGTCTTCTTTAAAATTAATATAATATATGTCTCAAATAAAAGTGTGCATTTCATTCTTCTTTTTCTTGGTATTAAATGCTTGTTCAAAATGAAATTCTTGTCATGTTTTAAAACCTTTAGTGACAAACTAGAAGTATAAGGTTTTGAATTAAGTAAATTACTTGTGTAATCCTATATATATATATATATATATATATATATATATATATATATATATATATATATATATAATGTTTAGTGTTATGTCTTGAGGGTCCTGGGTATTTTAGGTGACATATATAGAGAATATTTTTATTTCTAAATTAAACCGTTTACTTTACTAATAAATTGTCGAACTCAATTAGCTTAGGTTTTAAAAGTGTTAGAAAAGTAATCCATAATTAGTATTTTAAAAATATATTGTAAAAGGAAAGATATACTTTAAATGAATAGGAGTTTAAGTTTTCTTATTATTCATCTACAAATTATAGCATGTACATGTGTAGGAATTAATGTAATCTGGGGTATAAATAATACTTTGAGTGATAAAGAAGCTAGAATGCTATTAGATAATTATAATTCTATAGTCTCAAAGTTAATATCTGGAGGACCTCATGGATATCTAATAAATTATATAGATAGAAAGTCAGGTGATCTTATATTTAGGGTTGCTGTTTTACAAATTGAGTGTAATGAAAATACATCTCCAAATTGTTTTGAAGAAAATAATAATAATAATTGCATTGATGGAAATACAATAAGAACCGGATTTAGACGTTTACTTAATATTGTTTCTAATGATATACGGCATGCCCGTTCTAACACATGTAAAATTATTTGTCAAAAATATCATCTGCAATATCCTTATTTTCGTTATATAAATAAAGATTTATTGTATCAACTAGATGATGTTGTTAAGTTGATATATGAGACTTGTGATAGCAGTTTAACCACTTTAAACTCTGCCTACAAAAATAATAAACTTTATAAAAACAGGTTTATAAGATCACCAAATGGAAAAAATACATTAATTTTAGAATCAAATTGTAAGCTTTCCCTTTATTCTGGAAAAAATTTACTATGAAAATCTAAGAACTACAAAGATTATTATAATGAATGTGCATTTGTGATCCAAACTGATGGTAATCTTGTTATTTATACCCAAATAAAAGAAATACTATGGTCTATTATTAAATATTGTGCTACTCCTCCCAATTGTTTTTTATTTACAGTTCTTGAAATACAAGATGATTGTAATTTAGTATCATATATAATAAATAAAAAGCAAAGATATATACCTTTATGCGCAACTAATATATATATAAACATATGAGTTGTATATAAACTTTTTGGTTTGCTTAAGCAAACTTATAGGGGGACTGGGATGGTAATGAATATACCTAGAATATACTTGGATATTCTAGGATATTCTACCATTTAATTTAGATTAATCTTGTATTTATAATTTATAAACATGTTTATAATTTATAAACTTTTTAAAACCCTTTCTAATATATTCTTTTTGATTCTATCATCTAATGGTTGATATGAAATAAGATTAATCTTGTGTTTATAAATTACAAACATACTTATAATTATAAACTTTATTTGATCAATTGGATTAATAAATAATAATAAAACTACTATTAAGCAAACCAAGCATTGCTACATGCAAGGCGTAGCAATTTATTTAATTATTGATTAATATTTGTATACAAAAAATTTGTATTAAGAGTTGAATTATGTGATTATTCAATATGTTATGGTTTTATCCTTCTGTCCAACCAGGAAGAGTTAAGTCCATAAAGGTTGTGCACAGTAAACCAATCAAGTTGTCTATTAATAAATTGTGTTCAACTCTGAGATTTTAGGGTTTATGTGTACATACTGTCTCTACTCTCAAATGGCACATGCCTCACTCATACCTACATGCCCACCTAAAAGGGGTGAATGATCACAAATGGTCCACATGTCACTAACTGGAAATTGTGGAAGAGTGGCTCTATCAAGCCTGGAGCATTGATCTTGCCCACATGCAGCCCCAAAAGAGCATTTCTTGCTGGTGTTCTAGTCGCAAGATTTCATTTCAGTGCAAGTACAATCTTTAGGTTCTAACCTCAATGTAGGTGAAATTGTAGTTAGGTTTTATATTTGGCTTAAGTATTTCTATTACATAGCATTTTAGTGTGAGGACACTGGATTTTATTACTCGTTAGAGAATGAAACTGTTTTGATGTACTTGTAAAAATAAGCACACACCATAAAGAAGACGAGATCAATACCAGTTACCACTGCTAGCATCCAGTAAAAGTAGTCAAAATGAGCCCGATTCAAGTTGTCTGCAATCCAGCTAGTGTGGCCTCGTCTCCCAGTCACTCCGTTCACAATGGTCACCACCAGGCTGCTCGAATAGTTTCCACACGCCAATGCTGTCAGCTGGAACGAGCTGCCCAGCGCTCTCATCCCATCCGGCGACTCATCGTAGAAGAACTCGATCAAGCCGATAAACGTGAACACCTCCGAGGCTCCGACGAGAAAGTACTGGGGGACGAGCCAGAAGACGCTCATCGGGAGAACGGCCGCCGGCGAGTCGAGCTGGCCGTGGTCTCTTGCAACACCCAGCCTGCGAATCTCGACGAGCGCTGCCACCACCATCGAGAGCATGATCACGAAGAGCCCGGTTCCTATGCGTTGCAAGTCGGTCAGGCCCTTGGGATGCTTGGTGAACCTCCGGAGCAATGGAACAAGGAACCACTCGTAAGTCGGCGTGCAAACCAGGATGCTCAAGTTCTCAAAGACTGAAAGAGAACCTGGAGGGATCTTGTAGCGTCCCAAGTGCGTATCCATGGTTCCGCCTTGCTCCAGAAACAGCGTGGCCATTTGAGAGTAGACAATGGAGTAGACGATGCTGCTCAGGAGTATAGGGAGCATGCGAATGATGCACTTGACCTCTTCCACTTGGCTTACTGTGCACAGTCTCCACGGATTTACCTCTTCCAGATCGGAGGGAAGTATTATAGCTGCCTTGTCAAGGAACCTGGAAGTAATGAAAACATCTATTTGATAAGCTCGAAAGAGAAGCAGCAACGGAAAACTCACTGGAAATTCGTCGTGTGTTGAATCTTCCGGCTGCCTTTGATGCTCGGTTTGTCATCGGCTACTTCGTAGAGAAGGCTGGCGTCGTTGGGATTCTTCAATCCCATCTTCCTCACAGTGGCAACCAGTACTTGGAAAACTCGAACGAGAGGATTGCCGCCAGGCCCATGGTTGCGGTAAAGAGGTGTCCCGATAAGAAACACGACCACCGCAAGGCCCATAGCGATCGTGCAGATGCCAAATCCAAAACTCCAGCTCACGTTCTCTTGCGTGTAGAGGACGAGAGTGGACGCGAGCAGCGCTCCTACTGTCATGGACTGGTAGAACCAGTTGAAGTAGGCTGTCATCTTCGGAAGCTCGTCTGGATTCTCTTCGTCAAATTGGTCAGCTCCGAGCGATGAGTTGCAAGGTTGATATGCTCCAGAAGCCAGACCCCCGAGGTACACAGCAAAGAAGAAGACGCCAGTTTGGGCTGGTGACGCAGGCTGGCAATCAACTCCCGTGTCGCAACTTGGAGGCTTCAGAGAAGGCAAAGCCGCTGATAATGTCAAGAGTATCATACCCTGCACGAAACAAGATTAGACTCGGCCCAGAAAAGAAAGAAAGAATAAAAACAACTATGCTTACCAAGAGATACACGAAGAGAAAGAGGGTTGTAGTCCAATATCGGCCCAAGTACGAATCACTAATGAAGCCACCGATCAAAGCGGTGATCGAGGACGTGCCTGTCCATAGGTTGACGTTGCTAGCCGCAGTAGCATTGCTCTGATGGAGAACATTGGTCAGGTAGCGCACGAGATTATTGTAAATCCCATAGTAAGTTACTGAAACCAAAGCCTGATTTACTGCAAAACAAATCACAACATTAAAAAAGAGAAAACGAATGCGAAAGAAACTGCAATACCAAGAACAAATCCAGCAGCTTTCCACAATCCAGTTGATGCTCGAGTCGCACGCCTCCCACAAATATCAACAGTCCCATCCTTGGTGTACAAATCGTCATCTCTCGTCGCTGTTTCCATAATTGCAGCACTGTCTGTTGCCATGCTCAAGGATCGGCCTGGAAACAAAAGCTGTGAGAAAAAGCATAACTTTTGACAACTATATGCTCCCTGGACAGAATTTTCACAAATGCAATGAGTAGCGAAACATACCTCTCGCTAAGAAACGCTGTCCATGATTCCTAGAAAAGGTCGAATCATTAGGAGCCCTAAAAACAGGGCAGGAAAAAGAAAAAAAAAATGGCAAGTCACTTACCATGCCACCTGTGAAGAATGTCTTCCTCGATCTCCGCGAGAAGCTCACGGGTCGCAGCCGTTTTCACAGTCCTCAGGCACCGCAGCACTCGCAAGCTCGAGTGGAGAACAGCTCCCCGAGCTTTGAGCTCCTTGTAGATCCTGAGAGCCGTGTCGGAGCAGCCCCGGTAGCACAGCGTAACGATGAGGTGCTTGGCCATCCTGGGATGCGGGAGCCCGCGCTTCTCGACCGCCTCGTCGAACAGCTCCACTGCATAGTCCCCGCTGATGCTCCAAGCAGCGTCGTGAACCAAGCAAGCGTAAGCCCAGCTGGAAGGAAACATGTCCTTGCTTCTCATCTCCTCGTACGCTTGCCACGCGAACTTCATCTTGTCCGCCTTGTAGTACGCCTTGATGAGCCGCGAGTAGCTGTAGGAGTTCGGCTTGAGCTTCTTCTCCTCCATGAACCTCACGAAATCCCATAAGTAACGGTGGTCGCTGTTGGCGAGTATCTTGAGGAGGAGATTGGATGGCAGGAGCATCGAGCTGCCACCAGCGCGAATCACGTCTTGGACGACCAGAGGCTTCTTGAGGCGTTTGTGTGCTGCTCGGACGCAAGCGATGTAAGTGCCGCGGTTGGGCTGGTAACCGCTGTACTTCATGAAGCGGAGCAAGTCCCACGTTGCCTTTGTCAGCGTCGCGACGCAGAGCCGCGTGATATACTCTCGGAGCTTGAACCGGTACTTCGATCCCTTGAGAGCCTCCACGATCATTCTAGCGTCCCGGAACTTGAGCTCCATGACTAGCGAGCTCGCCACCCAAATGCATGTGAAGAACGTCGGCCGGTCCTTGAGCTTCACGAGAACCTTGAAGACCTTGAGAGCGTCGGCACTCCTTTCAGTCTCCGCGAGATAGTTCGTGAGAGTTTCGTAGACTTCGGGCGTGGGGTGGAACCTTGACCGGGCCATGAACCGGAAGACTTCCATAGCTTCGTCCAGCTTATAAACTTTGCAAAGCTTGAGGATAGTCTCGCAGCAAAACTCCTCCGTGTGTGGGACGTCTCCGGCAAGGATTGCTTCGTAGTCTCTGTGAACCTCCGATCTCCTCTGGACGACACGCAAGAGATTTATGTTGTCGTCGTTAAGTCGAAACCGTGCCTGCTCCATCCTGCCTATATAAGCCACCGCGGCCTTCTCAGCCGAGCACTGGAGAAGCGTCGCGATCAAACTGTTGTAGAGATCCTCACTGGGCTTGCAACCATAGTCAGCCATCCTGTTGAAAGCGTGAGCCGCCTCAGTGGAGTTCTGAGCTCGAGCACAGCTCTTAAAGATGGTGAAGAAGACGAAGTCTGGCACCCCGGCTCGGTTTCTCTTCATCTCGTCCAGAACGCTCCACATACTTCCATAGTGCTTTCGATCGCACAAGATCTTCACGATGCTCTCATAAGCCTCGCTAGCAAGCGTGAGATCCGGCTCGTCTTTCACCCATTTGTAGAAGCCCATGGCCTTGGAAGGATGCTTTATCCTCTTGAAAATGGCTGGAAGATCGTAAGGCATGAGGTTGATGCCGCTGTGCTTGAGAGCGTTGAGACTAAATGTAAGCTCGGACGCTGAGTCGCAAAGGTCGATGCACCACACGACCCTGTCAATGTGACTCTTTCCCGATGCACCCGATTTATCTTCTCCTCCCAGCTCCTCCTCGGCATCCAGCTCCTCCTGGGAATCCATCCCTTCCTCGAAGAAATCCACAGCCGCGACGTGATCCGTGTGCTTGTGTCTAACCTGATCGCGCTTTATCACCGCCATGCCGCGGCATTGGAGCCCCAGCTTGCCCGAATCGATCATCCAGCACATACCTGATGCCCGGCGATCGGATATTTCGAGTGCTAGGCGCGCCGCATTGCATCGCCGAGACCCGGAGCGCGCGGCATTCTTGACGATGGCCCAAATGGCCATAAAACCCTAAACCCCGCCCAAACCCAGCCCAAAATTTTAGGGTTCTTCCAAGATTAGGGTTCCTCTGGGCGATGGGCGACGATGAACAGCTCCGGCTTGGACTACCGCACCGTCGCGCTCGTCCTACGCAACGCGCAAGATCCCACCTCCGCATTTCTCTTCTTCAGGTGGGCGTCAGCGCAGCAGGGATTCAAGCACTCGACCTACACATACAATTCCCTCCTCCACTCGCTCGTCAAGGCGCAATCGCTCGACGCCGCGCTCCTCCTCGAGCAGGAGATGCGAGCCACGCGGCGCTGCTCGCCAAACCGATTCACATTTTCTGTGCTCATCGCGGGGCTGTGCAAGGCCGGGCGATTGGGCGAAGCGGTCGAGTGCTACAACCAGATGCTAGAAAGGCATTGCGTTCCAAACTTGAGAGACATCAATCTCCTTCTCGCCAGTCTCTGCCAAGCGGGCACGATGGATCAAGCCATGGCGATCTTCCGCGGGATCCAGTGCTCTCCCAGCGTCATCACGCTCAACATCCTCATCAATGGCTTTTGCGAGCTCCAGCTCCTGGATAAAGCGCTGGAGCTCTTCCACGAGATGGAGAAGAACTTTGCGCTCGTCCCGGAGGCCACCACTTACACCGCGATCATCAAGTGCTACTGCAAGATGGATCGACTGGACCAAGCTCGCCAGCTTCTCGAGGAGAGCTCTTGCTGCTCCTCGGACGTGATCGCCATCACCAGCGTCGCCCGCGGCTTCTGCAAGGCACAGAGAGTGGACGAGGCTTATCAGCTCCTGCTCGACATGGTGGAAAAGAAATCGGCCAAACCTGACATAGTCGCCTGGAACGTGATCATCCATGGCTTCTGCAAGGCCGGGCGAGTGAGAGAAGCGTACGAGATGCTGGAAACTTTGGTCTCGATGGGATGCGTTCCAAACGCCGTGACTTACACCACGCTCATCGATGGCTTTTGCAAGTCCGGGAACCTCAGCGAGGCACTGCAGCTCTTCAAAGTGTTGAGCTCCAGGGATCACCACGCAGAGCCAAACGTTGTCACCTTCAACGCTCTCATCAGCGGGTTGTGCAAGGCCGATCGGCTGGAGCATGCGTTTGAGCTCGTGAAGCAGATGAAAGCTCGGGACTTGAGGGCCGATACGTTCACGTACACCACGCTCATGGACGGGCTCTGCAAGCAAGGAAGAACCAGCGAAGTCAGTCGGGTGTTTGAGGAGATGCTGCGAGAGGGATGCAATCCCAGTGTCGTCACTTACACCACGCTCGTTCACGCGCACTGCAAGGCCGGGAGTTTGCAAGACGCGCAGCAAGTCATCCGGAGCATGGTTGCGAAAGGAATTCCTCCGGACGTGACCACATACACGGTGCTGCTGGAAGGACTGTTTGAGAATGGAAAGGTGAGAACAGCGACCGAGTTTTTCGAGAAGATACTGCGAGAGAGATGCCCACCTTGCGCGGTGGTGTACTCGGCACTGGTGAGAGGCTGCTGCAAAGCGGCCCTGGTGGACGAGGCCGTCAAATACTACGTTGAGATGCTGGACAGGCGACTGGCTCCGGATCCGGCGACTTGCAAGCTTCTGGTTGAGATGCTGTGCAAGAGAGGCCGGACGGACGTCGCTCATTCCATGTTGTTGGATGCCATTCGAGTGTGTAGCTCCGACTCGCTGCAACGGAGTAAGTTGAATGGATTTAAGCGGCTATTGAGAGAAATGGAAACAAAGTCGTCCATACCATAGCTAGCAGTTCTCGCAAAACGTTTTTGTATCGCGGATAAGCGCAGGCTCGAAAGCCATTCTTAACAAGAGCGCAGCTGCCCAGTATGATCACGAGACTACTACAATTTTGTTGAGAATGGCTTTCAACTCTGGCGCTGGATTTTCTAATCTTCCTGCAAGAAAGGCCACCTCCCAAGTCACCTCTATCTGTTGACAATGCTTACCCGGAAAGAAGATTGTTTGCCATAAGGACGTAGGATGCGCAGTTTTTCTCGTCTATCTTGAGCAGCGACTGGAACGCTTTCTTCCCGACTCCTACGTTCTTCCACTTGACGCATGCAGCCAGTAGCGTTGTCCAAGTAATCACCTCTGCTTTGAATGGCATTGCTTCCACCATAAGGAGAGCATCTTCCAGTTGGTTGGCTCGTCCAAACATGTCGATCATTGCATGGTAGTGCTCTACATCTGGACTGATTCTGTGCGTCTCTTGCATTTCCCGGAAGTAAGACTTTCCCTTCTCAAACAATCCTGCGTGACTACAACTGGTCAGAACCGAAAGCAGTGTGATACCTCCCGGTTTCATGTCCTGATCCTGTAGCATTTGCTGAAACAAGTCGATCACACAACTGGTGTCTCCCTGACGACTGTATCCTGCTATCAAAGCACTCCATGTTAGATCGCTCTTGTGGCTCGAATCAAACACGATATGAGCATCGATCATGCTTCCACACTTACCATAGAAATCCACCAGACTGTTGACAAGAACAGCGTCACCTTCCAGCCCAAACTGGAGCAATTCAGCATGCACAGCCCGCCCAAACTCCAAGGCTGCAACACAACTGCAAGCTTTTAGTACCGCAGAGAAAGTCCAAGCATTGATACAACCATACCTCGTTCGGGCTCTAGTCTCCTGGAAAAGCTGGATTGCCACCTCCTCCTGCCCGTTCTCAGCATACGCATGTATCATCATCGTTGTCAGCACTTCATCACGACATGGCATGCGCTCGAAAACCATCCGAGCGTCCACCAAGCTTCCACACTTGGCGTACATGTCCACCAAGCTACTTTCCACGTAAAGATCCCGAGCAAAGTTGGACTTCGCTGCCTGAGAATGAATAGCCATCCCTGTCTCCAGTGTTCTCACTTTCACCGCTAGTGCTCGATCGTTTAACTCGTTCATCGCAAGGTTGCTGCAAGCCTTGAGTGCAGCAGCGTAAGTTCGCGAGTCCGGCGTGCAGCATTTCTCGGACAAAATCCACTCGAGCACCTCCAGAGCCAGTCCTTCTTCGCCGTTTTCAGCGTAGCCGACCATCAGCGTCGTCCAGGATACCACACAGCGGCGAGAAATTCTGTCGAAAGCCATGACAGCGTCCACCAAGCTTCCACAGTTTGCGTACATTGCACACAAGCTGTTCCCCACGAAATTGTCGCTGTCGAAGTCTCTCTTTGCAGCTTGAGAATGAACAGCGAAACCAATTTCCAAGGACGTCTTCTTGGTCAGCTTCCCGTTGATTTCTGTGCTCTCTTCGTCTGTTGCGAGAGTGATGCAAGCCTTTAAAACAGCTACGTAAGTTCGAGCGTCGGCTTTGCACTTCGTAGCTTGCATCTGTGAGAACAAGTTGAGAGCTGCTTCAACGTCGCCATTTTGAGCGTAACCCAGTATCATGTTGTTCCATGACACTGCATCCGGATTTTGCAGCCTATAAAACACTCTTTCAGCATCTAGAGAACACCCAGCCTTGAAATAAAAACCAATCACACTGTTACGAACGAAGGTTGTCGAGTCGGCGTTGCAAACTTGAGCTCGAGAGTGGACAGCCATGCCTTTCTCCAGTGATGCCACTTTCACGAAACTCCCTCCAACTTCTCGGCCTTGTTCACTCGACGACAGACTCGTGCAAGCCTTGACAGCAGCAACAAAAGTTCGATCATCTGCTGCACAGCCATCAAAACCGTGAATCATTTGCACAAACAACTGAAGAGCAATATCACCTTCGTCGTTCTCCGCGTAACCCGATATCAATCCATTCCAGAGCACCACAGTATGTTGAGAAACTCCATCAAAAACCCGGCGAGCGTCGACCATGCTTCCACACCTGGAATACATCTCAATCAAACAGCTTGCCAGATAGACGTTCTTACTTTCGCTCTTTCCGGCTCGAGAATGTATCGCCATGCCGATCTCGAGCGCCAGTTTCATGTCAACTTCTCCGGCCTCAGCTTTCTCCGCAAGATCAGTGCATGCCTTCGCTGCAGCAATAAAAACCCGATGATCTGAGACACAGCCACCCGACTGTTGCATCGTCTCAAACAGCTGCAAAGCCACCTTGCTCTCTCCATTTTCAGCATAGCCGAGGATCAGAGCTGTCCAGGAAACTGTGTCACGATCCGGTAGCCTGTCGAAAACCCGCTTTGCATCGACAAGTCCACCACAGTTCGCGTACGTATCTATCAAAGTGTTGGCCAAAGTAGCGTCGAGCTTGAAGCCATCCTTCCCAGCTTGCGAGTGAACAGCCATGCCTTTCTCTAGAGCGTCAAGCTTTACCGCGAAACCATCGAGTTTGGTAGCGTCTTCTTTCGCTGCTAAGTAAGAACAAGCCTTGAGTGCCGCAGCATAAGTTCCCCGATCCGGGGCACCCACAGCCAGCAGCAAATCCAGAGTCACTTGCGGCTCTCCATTCTCCGCGTACCCGAGCAGGAGAGAATTCCACATAGCAGCATCAGCCCTGGCAATCGTCCTCTTGAAAACTCTCCAAGCATCCACCATCGCTCCACACTTGCGATACAAAGTCACCAAGCTGGAAGCCACGAAGACGTTGTTTACGTCCCAGTTCTTCCTTGCGAGCTGAGAATGGAGAGCCATCCCTCTCTCTAGCGATCGTAACTTCACCATTCTTCCCGGAAGATCGTCGATGGCTTCTTCTTTCGTGGCTAGATGAGCGCAAGCTTTGATCGCAGCGACGTAAACCCGGGCATCTGGATCACACACTCCTTGAGCTAGCATTCTTTCGAACAGCTCCAGAGCCATTCCTGCGTCGCCATTCTGGACGTAGCCAAGTATGATAGCCGTCCAGGAAACCACGTCGTGGGAATCCATGTCATCAAACACTGCTCTAGCCTCGATCACGCTGCCGCATCGCGAGTACATTGCGATCAAGCTGCTGGCGACGCGAGATTCCAAGCGATCGCAGCTCGCCGCCACAGCGGCATGGATTTGCTTCCCCCGATTCAAATCTTTGGACCTGGTAGAAGCCCTGATCGCTGCAAGAACAACCTTCTGGATCGAGATTTTGCTCCAGCTCGGGGCGTCGAGGAAGAGATTCCATTCCCACTCGATCATCCTCGAGCTCCCGGGCCACCGCGGAAATTTCCCTCCATCGCAAGACTTACCCTTTTCTTCGTCGCCCTAAAAAAAGGAACTCTCGAATTAGGGTTTATGTGTGGATTCCCAGTGGAGCGACAGCGATTTGCGAGACGCGCGATCTCTTGGAGGTACTGGCCCTTAAGCGATGGATTGGGGCAATGTGAAACTGGGGGAGCTCGTCGATGCGCTCAAGGAGGTGGAGTGGACGACGCCGCCGAGGCCGCTAGCTGAATTCTTCGCCAAATTCGCGATTCCAAAGACCAGGGCCAAATGGGAGAGCCGAGTCAAGTGTAATCTCTACTAGTAAGTTCTTGCGCTTCCATTTCACCGAAGATTACTCAAAAATGTCTTTGTTTTCTCGCAGCTATAGAACGAACTACTTCCTCTCCATAGCTTTCATCCTCTGTAAGTTCTTGAGCTCTATCTTTTGTGAGTTCTCTCATCCCTTTTTTTTTCTTCGTCGTCACAGGCATAGGCTTCATCCGTAATCCTCTAGCGTTCATAGCGGTTCTCATCTCGAGCATTGGCACTGCGTGTCTCAATGACAGGTTTTTTCTCGTTCGATCGATCTTCTCTTCTTTCTCACGAATTTTTTGTTTTTTTCTTGTCAGCTTTGCCTTGTCCGTGAACGAGAGGCTAACGCGAGCGATCCGAAGATTATCTCCTCCTCTTGCTTCAAAGATGAGACCACCGACGTCGTGAGTTTTCTCGAGTTTCTTGCCACGAATCTCTTGATCTTTCTCTCGTCCAACTTGTGTGCAGTGTGGGAGTACGGGGCCGTCCTTTGAAAGGAAACGTGTACATTTGTGGCACAGATCGCAGGATCGTCGTTTTAAGTATTCTATCACGTACGTATTCTCTTTTCTCTTCAGATCTAAGTTCTATTTCGCTTTTTCTGGTGTGCCCGATCCTCTTTTCGCAAAGTTTGCGTGGTTTCTTTGGACCGAAGTTAGAGTTCGCAAAGTTTCCATAGTTTTCCTTGGATCGAAGTTAAGTTTCCATGTTTGACACTAAGCTTTCTACAGTGAGCGCGTTGTTTTGGTACATATCCTCGGCCTTCAAGACCGTCCTTTACGCACTCGCTCTGGGATTCATTCGTAAGTTCTCGCCATTCTCATCTTACTTTGTACCCAATCTACGTTCTTGTCACAGTCTCGCTTCTACACATGTCCTTGCGGACTCCAAATCTCAAGGCTCGCTTGAATGCGTACCGCGAAGAGTTTCGCGCTGGGTGGCGTGGTTTAAACAGTGATGCTTAAACGAGCTTTCCACTCGCCTCGAAGAAGGAAAGATTTCTTCCCTATATATATTTTCACGGCCTTTTCTTTTTCTCTCTTTTTCCCGATCGAGCGTCTGCTACCGAAAGGTAAAGAAAGAGCCAGGTGAGAGCGCTATGAACACACTGTAGACAATAGCTTACAAACCGTAGTTAGCTTTCTTCCGCTTAGATGTTATCATCTTCGCTCTCCCCGCTGTGCGTCGTCCACCGCGGAGGGCCGTTTGTAAGGGACAAATCCTCCCCGCGGAGAGCCGTGCGAAGATAGAGTTGACAAATTCGAACACGCTTGTGTACAGCTTCCGGCTTCGTCGTCGCCATGAAGCAAAGAAGTCGTGGTACTCGAGCTGCTGCTCTTTTCCTGCATGGACGACTGTCGATTCGATCAGCAAACACGAAATAAATAAAGGAGAAACTTTTGCAGACACACACCTCGTTAATGGAGTTTAGTCTCCTGCGTTTGCTCTGTTCGAGGACCGCGACCTCGTCGTCAGTGTCATTCTTCCTGTCATTTTGTGAAGCGTCCCAGTTGCTGCTCTTGTCCACAGCGCTGGGACTGTTAGAATCCGTCATGGAGTGCCACCGGAGGATTTCGTGCTGTGGTTTTAGCACCTGTGGAGTCAGGAGTTGCCAGGGATTAACTTGACCAACGTGAGGATGAATACCCGCTAGAAACGCCGCGTAGTGCAAGACGATAAGGTTGTTCACCGTGTTTTGATGGTCCTTTAGCTGTACAGGCGCGTGCTGCTGCTGCTGCTGCTGCGGTTCGGCGTTTTCTAACTCTTGATTACGCGACGAGACCTCCGAGTGGTTCCTAGCACTCGCCGGCAGCCTTGTCTCCTCTGATGATCCACACTTTGTCCTCTGCAGGAGATCGCTTGCTCCAGATTCTACTCCACTCTCCTCCTCTGGACCCGATGAAACTTCTTTTAGCTGCTGCGCCTCATCTTCATCCGTGCTTGGGGATGGCTCACCCACAAGCACAGTTTGTCCAAACAGCTTGAGACCTTTCCTGGCTCCACTCTTCCCAGTGCATTCGATCGACTGCGCAAACATCCATCCAAAGTCAGTAAGAGAAATGCGGGATTATAGCTAAAGTCGGGTTTTAAGCACCTGTGCGGTTGTGGTGTGTTCTTCCAAACAGCTAGGAGTGCTTGACAAGTAGCCCGGTGTCGTGTCGTCCGACGAGTTCACGCCGGCCTTTTTCGGATATGGATGGCTTGGTTTTCGCTTTGGTCGTGGTGGTGGTATTTCTATATGCTGTCCTGCACTGCCTTTGTCTCGTTCCACCTATACGCAATGAAAGAGTTAAAGCCACTCTCACTTTCCGCAAAAGGCTGTGAAGCACACCTTAGAGAAGAATTTCTGAGCGTGGCTGCGGATTTGCACAGCCGTCTTTGTACCGATGTGCTCTGCAATATATCCATAGTTTAGTCAAAGAAATGTGATGAAACTTATGCTCGTACCTTCAATCTTACGCCATCCTCGTCCAAATAACTGTAGTGCTTCCACAAATTTAATGTGTTCTTCCTCGGTCCAGCGCTCGCGCTGCTTGGTGATAGTGTAGGGCTTTCTAACCTGTCAAAAACCCAGATTTTAGCAACGATTTCCTCGAAGATCGCACGGATAGATAAACATTACCTGTTGCAGGCCCACGGCGGGATTCGAACTCATCGCAAGAAAGCGGGGAAGAAGAGAATGCGAAATTTGTGGGATTCCTGGAAAGAAGACTCTAGAGCCAGCCGATCAGCTGCTACGTCTTCCAATTCAGCTCGTGCAGGAGCTCCATGGGAAGAGATCGCCGATTGCGATGGAAATCGCCGCAAGAAGACGCAAAACGCCTCCGCACGCCAAGATTACGCGCTCCGCAGCAAGAATTCCCACCTCGCGACGCTCGATCGACCGCTCCTAGGCGATTGGCAGCGGCATTCTCCGCTAGCGCTCTCAAAACCCTACTACTACACCAGCAGTGCGAACAAATCCCTTTATCTCGTGCTTCATATTTCGGTAGCTATCCCACCGTCCGTTACTTTTAAGGACGGTCAAGATTGGGGATTAGTTTTAATCCATAAAGTGCAAAAAGGCCGTCCTCGGGCCGCAAAAGTATAACTTTGCTACCGTCTTTTCCGACCCTGCCGCCCGAGCCTCTCTGCGCGCTCGTACGTACCTACCCCCTCGTCCGATTCTCCCCAGCCGGGAAAACTTAACCAACGGGTCCGATATTTTCTCCTTTATAAAAAAGATATTTCAACGGCATATTCTCTTCCCGTTCGCGCGACCCCAATAATAGAAAAACCGTACAGTATCGCGTCCGACGTGTAGGCATCTGGAGCCGTCGATTTCCGCCAGGGCGTGCGCTTTTTGCTTTTTTCCACGGAGGGCTGGACACGCGTCCAGCTCTGGCCGGGAGACACGTGTAGGACGAAAGGCACACTAGAAGCCCTTTTTTACTCCCGTAGAGATATTTGTGAAATGTGGCTGGATGGAAAGGAGGGGATATATTTCTCGATAATGTTCTCGCTATGGAGGGGCCAGCTCGTTCTTTTGGGGCCACCTTCTTTCGTCTTCGTAGAATTTCTCCACCTGGAATGAATAAAAAAATTGGACTTAAAGTGATGCTTCTAACAAACCAAGAAAGCCCAGAGGCACAACTTTGCTTGCCCAAGCCCAGATGCCAATTCAAACAACTAGGCCAAGTTGGAGAGATTCACACAAGCTTTGCCACCGTCCCCAACTTTGGAGGTAAAATACGGAAAGCGGTCAAAGAAGTGGGCTAAGCCTCGACAAAATTCAAATGCTACACGCTCTTTGGCCCAAAAAAAAAAAAAAACCAACCCCACCTCCACCACCCTAATCTAGAAAAGCGCAGAAGAAAAGTGCGTGCATGGGTGTTGCAAGCCCACACACAACTCACATTCTTTCAATTCGGTGGCGGACCGACCGCGCCCTGCCCCCGGGCCTGAACACATACACACACTCCCAGAGAGAAGATAGCAGCGGCACGTTGGGTGGGGAACAAAGGTGGCAGACTTGTCTATCGACGTTGCCAACATACGGACAAAATGCGCCCCGCCACCCACAATGCCCTAATGCGGCATTTGCACCGCCAAAATGCCCTAATGTGGCATTTGCATCAATCGGACGGCATTGATTGACTGAAAGCGAAGAAAAAAGGAGGGGCTGGGGCATTTCATTGTGGCGACTTTTTCCTGTGGCTGGATCCTTAGATCTCCCCAGCTCACGGAAGAAAAGACCTTTTCGCTGGGCCTTGTAAAGTTCTCCGCCACAAACAGCGCCAGTCCGCCAGCCTCAGTCCGGCCAACTCGAGTTAAATTAAAAGCAAGCCCGGCAGGGACACGTGCGCTGAGCTGGAGCCACTCGCTCTAGGGCAATCGTGGCAGGCCTGCGGTCGGATAAAGCCCACCCACGGCGCTGACGAGGCGTCAGTGCCGCCACGTGTTGTGGTCCCTGCCCAGGAGAGTGGCTAGTGGACGGCCGCGCGCCACGTCGAGATGCCCCGGCGAATCTACTTTTTTCTGCCTTGACTAAACCAGGCCAATTTAGATGATGCGAGAAAAAAATGTGTCTTTGGAGAGACTTGGGCAACAGTGAGATTTGGATCTGTGGCTTTCGGGAAATGGGATGATCTTCCGCCGGATCTTCGGCACCAATTTCTCCAGATAGAAGTGGATCTGGATCCGTCAGTGCGTGTCTATAAGGAGCTTTGCGCCAGAAGTTTTTTCTGAGGCGTCGCGTGGCTGGAGATGAATTAATTCGATATCGCCGAGTGAGGATCCTGTGCCTGGATCTGTACGAGAGAGAAAAATCGAGAAGCTATAAACCCTAATACATCACACCTCGCCACGTAGATATCCCACATGCATTGGCGTATAATGGAGCCAAGGTCGGGTATAAAAACGAGGCACGGAAATTAGGATAATTGATCCTTCTTGGTTTTACTGGGGGATGATGAGTGGTAAATGCTCGGTTTCTCCACTGTGAGAGGGCTTGCCCGCCCAAAATCATTGTTACGCAAGGGGCAGTCTCCTATTTTGCGCCTCTGACCTCCGCAAAATCGAAGGATCATTGCTATCAGTAACTCTTGATGTTTCCCAGAAGAACATAGGCTGCGGCATTTTGGGTGTTCTTCTCTAGCACCAACCCTGCTGCCCAAGATCCAAATCCATGGAAATTGCGGCTCATCTGGCAAGATCCCAGGAAGCATGTCCACTCTAGTGCTTTGGGCACATAGGGCATGCTCAAGAGGAGCTCCTTGGCACAGCCCACATAGCCAGATCTTCCTAGAGCGTCTATCATGCAGCAGAAGTGCTGCCTGTTGGGTTCTAGAGTTAAATCGTAGATGAGGGAATGGAAACACGACCTTGCCGCAAAAACCCTTCCTGTCTGGCTGCAGGCAATGAGAACCGAGACGCAGCACCTCTCGTCTGGCAAGAAAAATAGCTCCATTTGATTGAAGGTGTCGAAAGCTCCAGCTCTGGATTCTGGAGTGTGGTTGTGGTTGTGGGCATCTAGCAATGCACTCCAAGAAGCTAAGTTGTGCTTGGGCATGGTATCAAAGTGTCTCTTTGATCCCTCTAGATGCCCGTTTCGGGCATATGTGGTAAGCATTGCATTCCAGCAAACAGAATCCTTTTGGGGGATTCTCAGAAATATTTCAAAGGCAGAGTCAATGTCTCCGGCATTGCAAAACACAGTCAAGAATGCTGTCCATGTAACGACATCTCTTTGAGGCATATTCATAAACATGTTCTTGGCTTCCTCCAAATGACCAGATTGGGCATAACCACAAAGCATTGTGTTCCAGGAGAGAATGTTTCTCTGTGTCATGCTCTCAAATATCTGCCTCGCACTCTCCAAACATCCGTTTTGCACGTAGCATGAAAGCAAAGACGTCCACGAAACAAGATCAGTTTGTGGAATTCGATCGAAAATCTCTTTAGCTTTCGAAGTTTCGCCCTCTTGGCCAAATGCAGAAATCATAGCAGTCACGCTCACTCTGTCGTGAACCGGCATTTCTTGCTCAAACAAAGATACGGCCTCGTACAAATACCCGTTAGAAGCGTATGCATGCAATATGGTGTTCAGAGAGATCAAATCCTTATGAGGCATTTTATAGAATACAGACTGTGCTTCTGTGAGTTTTCCTTCGTGAATTAGCATTACTATCACTGTCGTGCAAGCACAAGGGTCATGTTGTGGCATATTCTTGAACAAACAAAGGGCATTTTCAATATTCCTTTCTCGGGCATATCCAGACAGCAAAGAATTGAGAAGATCAAGGCTTTGGCAAGGCAACTTTTCTAGAAATCGCTTCGCTTCTTGCAAATACCCATTCATACAAAACGATGAAACAATCGCATTGCAGCAAACCAAGTCTATCTCTGGCATGGATTCGAAGGTATCTTTAGCAGCTCGCATTAACCCGGCGCGGGTAAATGCCACGAGAACCATGGTCTGTAAAACAATGTCTACGCCAGGGGCCTGTAAAACCAGCTCAGTAAGTTTCTCAAATTCACCCGCCTCGGAATATGCCTCGCACATTGCAGTCACTGAGACCACATCTTGCCGGGGCGCGGAATCAAAGAGAACCTTTGCGGTATCAATTTGCCCGCCTTGGGCATATGCGAAAATCAAAATGTTCCACACCACTAAATCATGCGCAGGCATTCGATCAAACATTTCTCTAGCTTGGACAATTTCACTCGAAAGAGCAAAATATTTAATTACTATGGTCCAAGAAAGAAGATTTGTTTCCGGCATTGAATCAAAGAGTGCTTTGGCTCGATCGATTTGCCCTGATTTGGCACTGGCAGTGATCACCAGGTTCCAAGACGTGGTGTCTCTTTGGGGCATGAAATCGAACACGCAACTCGCATCCTCCAATCTTTTGTTCTTGACATATGCGGCAAGAATCGCGTTCCAGGCGATCAAATCCTTGCGTGGGATCCGATCGAACAGGAGCTCCGCGTCAGCGAGGCCAGAACCGCCGTTCCTCGAGTAGGCAGTGATCATCACAGCCCAGGAGAAAGAATCCCTGTCCAGGATCGAGTCGAAAACTCGCTTGGAATCCTCCACGCTGCCGCAGCGGCTGTACATCTCGATCATCTTGTTGGAGACGAAGACATCGTGGAGGAGGAGATGGTGACATCGAGCGTGAATTCCCCGTGCTTCTTCCAGAGATTTGCAAGATCTGGCGAGAGCTAAGGCTTCTTCGCGGCTCAACAATTTGGCGGGAAGCATTGCCGTTTAGGGTTCAGTGGATATACCAGAAATATGCTCGACAAATCTGGACCGTTCGGGCTCATCGTACACCTCATTTAACGGCCTGCATTTGTTACTTTGGATTTCGAAAGCTAGCTAGTAGGGCAAGCTTCGATGGAGGACGGGGGCTTCGTGGTGCTGCGCGAGCGCGAGAGGCGCAAGCTCTCCTGGATCGATGCGAATGTAATCCGGCTCTTCTGGTCGTGGATAAGCGGCCGCTGCGGCGACGCACGGTTCATGCTCTCTACCGGCGCTGTGGAATCGAGCCACTCTATCCAAGTTTCGTGCGCGAGCTCCAGTATTTCGGCGTTTCCAGATCGTCCGCGACACGGATCACTCTCGATAAGGTGAGCTACGATATCTGGGAAGTGGTCGCCACGGAGAGATTTGAGATTTTCGGCGCAACCTTCGTTTCTCTAGCGCTGGACCTCTGCCGCTACGCAGACGTCGAGAATGCTGCTACGACTGACGAGTGGGATCCAAGCGTTTGTTTCTGGAACAAGCCAGCGTTCAATAGCTTGATGATCCGGCTCCAAAAGGTACTCTCTTTTCTCTTAGTTCATCTTCTCATTCTTGCCTCTTAGGACGTGCTCGATTCTCGTGTGCCCGACATTGTTTCGAGCGAGGCGGTGGATGACCGTAAGTGTTTACGTAGATTTTTTCGGGAAAGTTTGAAGCATGGCTTCCATCTTTCAGGTTTGTACGAGATCTATCGTCAGCTCAAGGGCGGCACTGGTTCAACTAGACAGTGTTTTCGACGTGACGGAGCTTGTCTGCCAGCTTTCCTATACGTGGCTCTTGGCAACCAAGAATGAGATGCTGGTGGAGGCGATCAAGAATTTCGTGGGTGAGGTCCGACGATGCAGAGGAGAAAGGACTAGATCTCACACTGCCGCCGCGCCTCGCACCTGTGTTGCCCATGACGAATGTTGGACAGTCTTTGATCCTCAGTTTCAACTCGCCTGCACTGCTCTCCTCGCGTGGCCTCCAGCAGTTAGAAGCATGGCTTCGGTTCCGGATGGCGGCAGTAATGCAAGGGGAGGACGTTTTCGCCCCTAGAGCTATACTTTCATCCAAATGCTCGTTAAAGTACGTACCCTTTCCTCACACTTCTCGCATTGTTTTTACGAACCATGGATGTTGAACAGCAGGTCAAGGCCGCGGAGAGCGAGAGCCTAGAAGCTTACAGCGCCACGGTGACGGATATCTGGACGGGGAGTCTCTTTGATCTCGTTGCCAAAGTCGATCTCCACTCATCCATTCTGGAGCTCGATCTCGAGATCCGAAAGATGGCCCGTGTCTTCCAGTTTTGGCTCCGCTGCCGTGGCGGCCAGTTCAGGCACCGGCTTATGGTGGAACAGATCAACGAGGCCTACAGCAGGAACGGATGGCCGCCATGCAAGAACTTGTCGCTTGTGCAAGAGATGCGGTCGACCTTGAGGAGCCAGCACCTCTCTCACGAGCAAGTTCTGGCTCGCTCGATATGACATCTGGCTGCGGAGCGTTCCCGAGGGCATTCGGAGCTTGAAATGCGACAGGAGCTTCGTCAACTTCGTGGCCGCAGTGAGCATGGAAGACCCTGGCGAGTCGAGCTGCTGTAGCTGGGAGCTCTTGGAGGAAGTACGCTACTGTGCAACCGCTGCAGGCTACCACGTTTTGAAGCCGCTGCTGGTCCAGGCCGGTGACGAGGATGGCGGCGTCAACAAACTGGTTGTCTATCTCGTGGAGGTGGGACTTTCTTTCTTAGCAAGTTGAAGCTATCGGGTACGTGTGCATGAGTTGTGCAGGAATTACGGTACTGGAAGCGATTTGAGTTTGAGGGCATTTTCCGGACTTAGGCGACGCTGGCTTCGACAGTGTGGTGCGGGACTACTCCAAGGCTGATTTTCCAGGGGTTAAACTTCCAGGTAGCTAGCCATGGCCTTTTTTCATCTTCTTCTCTCCTCTCTAACCGTATACAATGCACAGATGCGACGAGAAGTGGCGTGGAGCGTCGACTGGCAAAACCAAGTATAACACTGTGCAGAGATGTGGCAGGCCAGGTACTTCGAATAATTTCGACTTGGCAGAGGTGCCATGATCAAACCAGAGTTTCGGGGGATTCCAAGGCTCTGGAAAGCTTGTTGTACTGCCTATACCTTGCAAGAGGCGACTCGCAAGCGGAGGCTACCGAGCAAGACTTCGAAGTGTGTTTGCGCGCAGCGAGCGACGATCGGAACAAAGTGGCTGCCCTTGTGACGGGGGAGTGTGAAGTCGGACCTCTAGTCCGCAGGCTCTCGGAGGTAAGATTTTTTGTCTGAGACGTTATACTCAATCCTCATTGATGCTTGTTGGATAGGACTTGAGGGAGGGGAGCAACACACGAGATCAACTAAGTTACGTTCTTTGTTGTTTGTGTTTTTGCGCCTAATGACTCCTCTATGCGTAGGAGTTCAAAGAGGAAGCGAGCCTGAAATCGATCAGGATGGAATTTAACTCTGGAAGCTATACAACAAGAACAAAAAAGAAGCGCGCATTTTTCTATTAGAGTTTAGTGTGTTTCTGTGTCGACGGCATCACGACTTTCCCAGTATGGTACGCTCTCTGTTTTTTATTGCTTTTTCAAAAACGATTGTCTCAGGCAGCTAGATACGCTCGTTTTATTTGGTGCTCTAATCTTCTTTTCTTTTGCAGGCTGTAAAAACAATTGTATACTTTTGGACAGATTAGGATAAAACAAGTTCTATCAAAGTCTGTGCCATTGTCCAAAAGGTTTGTCTTTCACGACGACTTGCAATATCCCAGCGCAATGCTATTGCTGCTGGCTTTGATACTGATGATTCCAGGTGCTTCCACAGCGAAGCGAAAGATTAACGGTGGCTCTGCGATCTCTTGCCGTCCTTCAAGCATTTGTATCACTGCATCCATGGTAGGCCTGTCCGCTGGATTTTCCTGTATACACCAGAAAGCCACCTTTACCATCCTTTCAGCTCCTTGGTTGTCCACTCCATCTCGGATTTTTGGATCCACCACACTGAGTAGCCGTCCTTGTTTCACCTCATTTACAGCCCAGGCAGGAAAGAAGAAGCTCAGCTCCGAGTCGATCTTTGCCGGATCCAAGTTCTTCCTCCCGCCAATCAGCTCTAGTAGAACCATTCCATAGCTGTAGACGTCGCATTTTTTCGTTGCCGTGTTACTAAGCAGCCATTCTGGAGCTAAGTAGCCCGGTGTTCCTCGGACTCCTGTTATGACTTGGGTAACGTCCCTGCTCATCAGCAACTTCGCCATTCCAAAGTCGCCGACCTTTGCTTCGAAGTTCTCGTCCAAGAGTATGTTTTGCGGTTTTATGTCCAGGTGAATAATCGGTTCTCTTGACTCTTCGTGCAGGTATGCCAGTCCCCGAGCTGTTCCAAGCGCGATGCTGTAGCGACGGTCCCAGTCGAGAGGCGCTTCTTGGTTTCGAAAGATCCACTTGTCCAGTGATCCATTCGGCATGAACTCGTAAACCAGTAAGCGGTGTGATAGCTCGGCGCAGAAACCACAGAGCCTGACTATATTTACGTGACTTATCGTTCCCAGGGACGCGACTTCGGCGATGAACTGCTTCTGGCCTTTGTTCGAGTGGAGCTTCTTGACTGCCAACTTTTTCCCGTCGCGCAGGACTCCCTCATACACCGAGCCGAATCCTCCCGTTCCAAGGTGCTTGGAGAAGGCTTTCGTTGCCACCGTGAGCCTCCTGTACGTGAACCTCTGCGGAGGGCCTTTCAAAGCGCTAATGAGTTTTTCAATCTCTGCATCTTGCTTTCGTCTGAGCTCCGTAAGTAGCAGGAGTGAGCACACGATGACCAGTGTTGCCGCGGTAACGCTGGTGCTGATAACAATTATATTTTTTCTGGAGCTGGAAGAACCAGTGTCTACTTTCACCAGCCGGGAGCGGTCTTGAAACTTGAGGTAAGCCGTATAACTTGCTTGCCCTTGCGTCAAGCTTCCCGACACATCTCTCACGAAGTAGCAGTTTCTCAGGGTACCATCGTAAAAGAGAGCAGAGCAGGAACAATTCGTCCGGCACGTTTCGAGGCAATCCTCGAGCGGAGACGAAACTCTATCGGGGCTCGTGTACTGGTTTGTGAAATAGCGGACTCCAGACAGAGCAACGAAGTCACTCTCGTACCTGGTGTCGCAGGTTGCAAGGCGAGAGGCCCAGTTGGGACTCTCACAGGTGCCGGACTCAGCTACGGTGGTGATGTTCGTGGCCCGGTTATCCATACACTCGCATGGCCCCGTTTGATTGCAAAGTCCATAGCTACCGCAGGAAAGAGGCAGATCACAGGCTCTATGACCGAAGAACTGCGCGAGCAAGAACTCGGTCTCCCAGTTCCCAGTCTCGTGCAACTTGTACGAGATCAAGTTCCCATCAGACTCGAGACGAAGCTGCCGTTTGCTGTTCCCTGACCCGAGACTTACGTTGAGCGGGGCATTGCAAGGACTACTCGTGGTAGCCGCGGAGCTCCGCTCGTAGGCCATGTTGACAGCTCCACCGGTTGTGTATTGGAGCACGGCAACGTAGCCGGGGCAGCGAACTCTTGCCGAGTCGATCGTGGACGGCAGCCCCAAGCTCCAGAGGAAGTAAGGCTGCTGCTCTTGGGAAGGAGGACTGAAAGCCAGGACAATGGCCCGTGCCTCCATGGTTGCAGTGAAGACTCCTTCCGACATGGTGGACGAGTTTAAGTTGCTTGCAAATCTCTGTCCGGTTACTAGCCGCTGGCCCGGAAGCAAGACATCGGTTGGATGATCGAAGGACTCCCAGACTGCTCCTCCGGACGAGTTATACAGCACCATGTTGCCAGTTTCATCGAGGCCAATGCTCGCGATGGTTTGATCGTCCGAGGGAGACCAGGCCGTGGTTAGATCGCCATTGAGGAGCTTGAGCTGGCCAGCGGTTTTTGTGAGACGGGACTCGTTGCTGACAGCTTTACTTCGATTCGCTGTCCAGATTGGAGCTCCCGCGGTGGCGTTCGTCGCTCCCATCACCAGCGAGAGGTAATAGTTCCCTGTTCCATTGAAGTTGAGGAAAGCTAACCCAAAGGTGCCGTTGTCGCTCAGGAGGAACTCTTGCTCGCCGCTGCTGCCGTTAAGATCTCTTGGAGCACTCACCAGGATGTAACTTCCGGAGCTTCCAAAACCGGGGAGCTCACGGCCTTGGATGGTGGCTGTCCAGTTCTCCGGAATGGTGTAGACTCGCCCCGAGGCGACGCTCGCGAGGCTCACAAGCAGCACGGCTAGAACTCCCACCGTTTTCATCGATCTCGACCTCAAAGGTATGGAAAGAATGGTTCTTCCTCGCATAGAAAGTGATCTTTGGGTTCTTTCTTAGGAAAAGCTGAACATTTCTAAGGCTACCCGTCCATCAATTTGACAAGCTTGGAATTCAATCGCACGAGACCTTTCGTGAGCTTTGTCAAAGACTGGGAACGCGCTATTGTTTACGTATGGCTAATAAAGCTTCGGTTTGTCAGTGGTCGAACAGATCGCAATCCAAAACTTTTGTCAGTGAGGTAACCGTCCGTTCCAAAGGAGGACTTACGTGTGTCGTGCAATTGCGTGTCTTTGACAAAGCTCTCATTCAAAGGTCTCGTGCGAATTCAAAGGTAATGGCAATGATTTGATTTTAGATGATACTTCGCTACCACCATTCTCCAGAAAAATCAAGAGAAGTCTACGCCCATGCAGAATTAAATTCCAAGCTCAATGATAAACAAGGGGGTGTAGCTCAGATGGTAGAGCGATCGCTTTGCATGCGATAGGTAAGGGGATCGATGCCCCTCACCTCCATTGTTTTTGTTTTCTTCTTTTGTTTGGGATGGCGCTCGAGCGCGTCCTCGCCTTCTCTTTTCTCGCGATAATCTCCTTCTCGCATTCTCTATCCAAGAGCTTCGATCTCCCGGACCACTGGAGCGCGAGCAATGACGCTAGTTTGGAGCAGCTGGATGCTGCTAATGGGATCGGCCACTACCGATTGATCCCCGCTCCCTCCTCTCCGGGCGAGAAGCTCGTCAGCGCCAATGGTACGTTTGCCCTCTGCTTCTTCACCTTCCGCGGCACAGAGAAATCCCACCTCTCGATCGTCATCCGCAGCGCTAATTCGCCCAACACCTCCGCCGCCGTCGTGTGGACGGCAAATCGGCGCGATCCCATCCGAGGAGGCGGCGCCCTGCGCTGGAATTCCACCAAGAAATCCCTGGATCTCAGCGATCTCGACGGGAATACCGTCTGGAGCACCGATCCATCCAACGCAACCACGATCGAGCTCCAAGAATCGGGAAATCTTGTGCTCCGTGACGCCGGCGACCGCGAGGTCTGGCAGAGCTTCGACAATCCCAGCGATGTCATCCTCGAGGGGCAGAAGATGTTCACGGGGCAGCGATTAACAAGCAGCAAGAATCGATCGAGCTTGGAGGAGGGGAATTTCGAGGTCGCCATAGAGCCCAATGGAGTAGGGTTCTACCTCGTCAAAGATCCTTCGTCTTCTTCTTCTTCCTCGCTCAAAGAGCCATACTTCCAATGGGCTCTCTGGAACCAAGATAACAATCGCCCAGTGGACTCGCCATGCCAGACGTACGAGACCGTACTTGAATTGCGCCCGGGGGCCATTATTATGTCGTACCAGAGGTCCCGCGCGGCCGTACTCCAGGGCGGGAACTTTTCAAATTTCCCCAGGTGTGGACCGGACCTCTCTACGAACCTCCCGGGCGAGCGAGGAGCCCTAAATTTCATCAAGCTCGACATCACTGGCGATCTGGTCCAGCAGAGCTTCGATGCCGCGGCATCGATCTGGCAGAGCTTCTCGACCCCGGTGAGGAGCCAGGTCGGTGCTTGCTTGCCGATGGCATGTGGATCGAATAGCATCTGTCGGGGTAGCGGCCAATGCGAGTGCTTGATCAAGAACCCTAGCAGCGGCAGCGGCAGCGGCAATCTATCTTGTCCAGCTCCGATCGAAAGGCCGCTGGCGTGCAGCAATCTCGAGGCCAGGAATCACCACTTCTTGAATGTAAGCGGTGCTTCGTACTTCTCCAATCGCTACAGCACCCCCGATAGGGTCTCCAGCTTCCAGGATTGCTCGCGGCTCTGTCTCGCGAATTGCTCCTGCCGCGTATTCTTCTACAACACCGATGGCTCGTGCTTCTTTGTCAACCGCGTCTACGGCAGCCTCACCGCGGATTCGTCCTCCACCGCCTACCTCAAGATCCAGAATTCCGAGTTTGTGGATCCAAACAAACGCCAGAAGACGATGGCGGTGGCTCTGGGAGTGAGTGGAAGCGCTCTCTTTGTGGTGCTGTGCGTGAGCGCTGTGGCATTCTACATGTGGCGGAAGCAATCGAGCAGGATAGCTGGAACGCTGGCCGAGGCTTTGCAGGGATCGATCCATCGATTCACGTACAAGGAGCTCGAGTTGGCGACAGCGAATTTCTCGTCGATGGTCGGTAGCGGCGGATCAGGGACAGTGTTTCAGGGAACCTTTCTCGATGGCACCAAGGTGGCGATCAAGAAGCTGGAGAACACCAGCCAGGGGCAGAAGGAATTCGTGGCGGAGGTGAACAGCATTGGTAGCATCAGCCACATGAACATTATCAAGCTCTGTGGATTCTGTGCCGAACGATCGCATCGTTTGCTCGTCTACGAGTTCATCGCCAATGGGTCTCTGGATCATTGGCTGTTTCACGACGGCGCTGCTAGCCAGGATTCGTCCGCCAACTTTCTGGATTGGAGGACTCGATTTGGCATCGCTCTGGGTGTTGCTCGAGGTCTGTCCTACTTGCACGAGGAATCCAGGCAGCTGATCATGCATCTAGACATCAAGCCGCAAAACATCCTCTTGGACGAGCAATTCGTGGCCAAGATCGCCGACTTTGGGACGTCCAAGCTCATGGCGAGCAGGGAAATCAGCCAGGAGACGACCAACGTACGAGGAACTCCCGGCTACTTGGCTCCAGAGTGGCTGCTCCACTCGGTGGCGACGAAGAAATGCGACGTGTATAGCTATGGAATGGTGCTGCTGGAGATCATCGCTGGGAGGAGGAACTTGATGAGCTCTTGCGAGGACGAAGATCTGGCGTGGTACTTCCCGGCCTTGGCGGTGAAGAAGGCGTCGCAGGGGATGATCCGGGAGATCTATGACAGGAGAATTGCGGGAGAAGTGGAAGAGAAAGAGGGCGAGAGGATCGCTCGCGTCGCGCTGTGGTGCATCCAAGAGAATCCCGCGATGAGGCCGTCGATGGAGAGCGTCGTGAAGATGCTGGAGGGACTGGAAGAAGTTTTGGATCCGCCGCTAGAGTTCCACTTCGCGCTCCAATCGTCCGGGATCATCAGCATCTCCACCATCGCCAATAGCCTCGCCTTTGAAGATGACCTAAATTTGAAAAGCATAGATAGCGGGAAGGTCTAGGCATAACCATGAGCATATGCCAAAGCAAATATTCTTTCTTTCAATTCAGAGCCCTAGTTCTTTCTTCTCGAGCAAGCTTGTGTGCGACGGCAATGGTGTTCCACACGGAGCTGATGATCCGCCTCGCTCGAGCGCCGAAATCTCTCTCTCTAGGCCGCGGCGACACTCCCGACACCGATCCGGATATGACGTGGTTGTCGACGATGATCCAGAAGCCCCAAGCGGATCACGGCTTTCCCTCGGCTGCGATCTCCGCCCTAGCGCCGGCCAGGATCGCAAAGCTCCGCCCAGAATCGCTGGCCAGAGGCCGTGTTCTCCATGGAGTACTCATCGCGGATGCGCTCATGCTCGAGGACAGCGTCCAGGTACTCACTACGCTCAGGGATTCCAGAGGCGACGAAGTGTTGCTGGCGATCAAGCACGCAGTGGCCAGCGACGCCACGGCCGAGCAAGTCCGAGCGAAATATCCGAGAGGAGCTCGAGTGGCCGTCAAGGAGCCGATGCTCCACAAGCACCATGGTTCCTTCATCTCGCTGGACAACCCGGCCAATGTGGAGGTGATCTCCTACCTCAGCGACGAGCAGCTGGAACGATTCGCAGGTATGGCTCCCGCGGCACTGCGAGTAGAGGGCAACAAGCTCTTCCAAGATGGGAGCTTTGAGGCTGCCGCTCAAGCCTACGCCTTGAGCGCTGTGAAATGCGAGCAGGAGGAGGAGCGTGATCGTGTTCTTGCTCTCTCCAACCAGGCCGAGAGCTTTTTCAAGCTGGGACGATATGAGCAGTGCGTGGATGCTGCAAGTGCCGCTCTCGCCGTGGATCCCCGCCACCTCAAGAGCCTCTACAGGAAGGCTTTGGCACTGCTCAATCTCCAGTGCTACGAATGGTCGTGCCGGCTCTTGAGCGACGTTCTTGGAGTGGACGAGGCAGTCGATCAATTACACAAGAGATGCCAAAAGCTCGTGATCCAAAGCCAAGACATCAACAGCATCATGGCAGATATCCATGGTTTTTATCGGGCCTGGAGCGAAGGAGAGCAAGCCCCACTTTTCCCAGAGGTTGCTGACAACGTTTGCCAAGTGGAAGTGAAGAAATGCGAGGACCAGAGCAAGCAACGAGGCCGGGGGCTCTTTGCGACGACCAACATCAAGAAAGGCGAGCTTGTCCTTACCAGCAACTCGGCAGCTTTCGAGCGAGGTGGCAACATCTCGGTATGCAACAGGAATGCCGCAATCCGATTCCTTGACATGGCCATGAAGTCACCACGAGCATACAAGCAGATCCACAGCCTTGCTAGCATGGCCGCAGGGAACGAGCGTGAAGTTCCAGCAATGGAGCTCTTCCAGGCAGACTGGGCCACGCCGGAGAACTGGTCGAGCGTCAGCACCGACAGCAGCAGGGAAGCTCTCGAAGGCATTTCGGTGGAGAGGATCTTCGAGACTGTGAGGGTAGCTTCCTTCAATCCGACAGGTCCAGGTCCTGACGAGAACACGCAGCGCCTGCTCTACGTTGGTACCTGGCTCATCCCCAGCTTCATCAACCATTGCTGTGTTGGGAACGTTTGCCAGAGGTTGTTTGGCACCACGGTTTGCTACTTTGCCACGTGGCGCCACACCCATGAACAAACCTCCGCTTCTATGTCGAGACACGTGTAATCCTCCAAAGACATAACCAACCTTTCTAACAAAGTATAAAGAAGAGCTTACGTGAATCATTGTGTAAGTATCGTACCCCAAAGAGCGAGAAAACATGAGAAACATGGCGCTCATTGTTCTAGCTCCAGTTCTACTCTTGCTCATGAGCTCGATTCTCCTCTGCCCCCCGGCGAATCACCAGTTTGGTGGAATCTTCAGGTTTCGGCTTGGTTTTGCGCAGCTTGCCGTGGAGCGTGTCCAAGACCTCATGGATCGCCTCGAGGCCTTCGTGGGGAGGAGGTTTAGAGGCAATTTTGGTTACTTTGCAGGAAGGAGCGTGGGATTCGTGGTGCAGTACGCAAACAATGCCTACGTCCGTGTGAGAGTGTGGCTCTACAACCGAGCTTACACTGAGAACGCAGACATTTGCTCCGTGGCGCCAGGTCGCGCGAGCCTCCCAGGGGGCGACCTCCTAGACAGCGTTGGGCGGATGATTGCAACCATCCGAGCGGAGCTGCTAGACGTGGCTCGCACGCCAAGCTGGTTCGGCCGAGTCAACATAGTGCTCGGCTACTTTGGGATTGAGTATGAGTTCCAGGAAACCCCATTCGGCAGCGATCCTGGCAATAGGCCTGAAGGAGGTGGTGGATCAAGCGGTGAACTACTTGGGTTTGACCGCACTGACTTCCTTGTACACCCAGTCAGCACGGTCGTTGGCTTGGGCGTTGACCCTGACGCCGGGAATTGCTGGGTCTTTGCTACGTCTCTAGTTGGCGAGGGATCGACGCTGCCCGAGGGGAACAGCTTGGTCTCACCGAGCATGGAGTTTAGGCTGTCTATGGAGGCCGGGTGTGATCTGGTGGTAAGACGTAGCCGAGATTGTCCGGAGGATTGTTCGCGGGAGGGATCAAGCGTGTGTCTTGTCTCTCTGGAAGAATGGGGTGCTCTTGGTCTCTGGATCGCGGGTGGTCATCTTGAAGACGAAAACGAACTATGGGTCCAAGCATTCATATGGTCTGGCAATGGAGAACGATGGTCATGCCAGGCTTTATATGACAAACTTGGCAAAACAGATTTGGTCAACCGAGCACATATAGAATAGAAGTGCGATGTTTGGAATTTATATGTTGCAAAGTAATACACAGTTTTGCTAACTTAGAAAAGTCCCAGCTCCCGTGACAAGTTGCGAGGGGAAAGAAAAGGGGGCAATCGCTCACAGTCATTTCCACTGCATGAGAAAGGAAAAGTCGTTTAGAGTTGGCTCTTTGAATTTTAACTTTCTTGGGCTATTTTTAACTCTCGATTCTCAAAAGTTCGTCAACAATCACCACAAAAGAACTCGGACTTGGCCGTGAGCAAATGTGAGAAAGCCAGTGCGTCCTTGTTTCAGCGGAATGCCTTGCCACGACCGCACCAGGCGGCTGGGCAGCACCCGCGACGCGAGGACGGCATTCGATGCGATCTACCGGCGCAACGTTTTCTCCTGGAATCTCTTGATCGGCGCCTACTGCAGCATGGCTGGGAGTATCTCTTGTGTGGAGGCAACGACCGTCCTCAACTTCGCTGTCATTGTCCTATGATCTAATATCGAATATCTAGAAACTCATAAACCCTTACCGACAAAGTTGCTTCCTAAATGCCTTTCTTTGTCCTTGTTATATCCTTGTGTGGAACAATCCAGATCAAAACTTCCAGTCAGAATGTTACGCTGGAAAACTTCAGACGACATCACTGGAAGATTCCATCGTTAAACCTTTGAATATTCGAAAATATCGTCTCATGGGATTCTTACTTATATTTCTCAAACATAGCAATTCTATTCTGTGCTCGGTGGAACCCTCTTTCCTCAAGTTCGTCATGTAAAGCCTGACATCCATCATTCTCCATTGCGTAACCATATGAATGCTTACATCTGTAGTTTGTTCTCGCCGACCACCCTCCGCAAGCCAGAGACCGGGAGCACCCCATTCTTCCAGCCAACACGGCGGCATAGTGTGTGAGCCTGCCACATCTCATTCTATGGAGGCAGGAAGGAGTGCAGGATTTGTGATGGAATATGCAAATGAAACCAATTTATGGATCCAAGCATTCGTATGGTTTGGCAATGGAGAACCCAGGCTTTACATGACGGACTGGGTGAAGAGATTTTGCATATATCGAATAAAAGTGCGATATTCAGAAACGAAAAGTTCTTAACTTTAATGTCCGATGTGTGGCACAGACTAGAAGAGGTTAGCGACGCCATTGACCATTACGACCGGTCAAAGTCTTGCGCGACCCATCTATTCAAGTGGCTGTAGTGACTTAACGCCCGGCCAAGGCTGACAAGGTTCCAGGATCCAAAAGATGCTGGGATCCCAAGAAGATCTGGAGCTCAAGGAGGCACTTGCAGCAGCTCGCCAGCTCAGGGTTGCAAAGGTGGTGAGCGCCTTCTTTTACAAGAGCATCCTGGGGCGCCAACAATCTCTACACCTAGAGGTTTGTAATCCACGAACCTCAAGTGCTAGCGATGCAACAAGGCAAGAGGGTGAGAGGCCCTCTTGGTCGAAGGGATTTACATTGAATATATAAAGAAAATGCAAAGCATTCTCATTCTTTACAAACAAAATGCAAACGTTTTTTGTCACGTCACCTGAGAGATTCGAACTCTCGCGGGGAAACCCCATGTACTTAGCAGGCACACGCCTTAACCAGTCGGCCAAAGCGACATTTCTGTGCTTTCTTATAAAAGAGTAATCTAGTTTCTTATGATCCGGATATTCGTTTATACAGTCTTAGATCCTGGATAATTCCCTTTGGTCGTTCCCAAAGAAAGACCTTTCATGAAAATTAATTAATAAGATCATTTTATAATCATAAACATTTAAAAATTATAATCATTTTCTTTTATCTAGATCCACAAACGTATCATAGCTTGTGCGAACTCGCGGACATAGCACACACGTTAACCACGATAATTATCTTTGACCAAAGTTATGATGGTGATTTATGAGCTTCTAGTTTGGGTGATCTTACGCACGAAAACTAGTCTTTATCGACCAACGCCTCCAGAGAAACCCGGGGACATTCTCGAGGGGATATCTCTAGCAGCAAAATTCACACGGATCTCACGACCGTTTAGATTCTGCCACAAAGAAAAGGAATGAGAGAGACCATGCCAAAGGAATTGGAGAGAACAAACCTTTCCATCCATGGCTTGGAGAGCGTCTTGAGCGTCCGCCTCGGAGACGTAAGTGATGAATCCATAGCCTTTGGACTTGCCAGTCTCCCGGTCTTTCACGATTCTAACTGGAGGAGCGCGAGCTGGTTTGGAGCCATCGCAAAAGGAAAACTAGTACCTTCTCTAACTTCGCCGAACGAAGAGAAGGCCTCCTGGACAATTCCCTCGGTCAGTCCCCAAGAAAGGCCTGTGAGACGCAGAGATTAGTTCCCGCAAAAGAAAAAAATCCTGAAAGTTGGATGAGAAACAAATCACCCAAAAAATAAAAGAATCGCTGGAGCAACAATTCTTCTCTCGCATGATCTGATCGAGTTCTTTCCTTCCAATCCTAGAAACTTCAGCGATTCGACAATCGAGGACTTGGAATCATGAAATAGAAGAGAAATTGAGCATAGAAAACCACTCCTTTGGAGAAATGTGGTCATTGGATCCCAGGAAATCCATCGAAAAGAAAGAGAATGCCGGTGTCTATGCTGAATAGAGAGCGCGCAATCCATACCTCCAACGAAAATCGTAGAAGAATCGCGCTTTGGGACGCAGAGAGCCGGAATCCTGGCCAGCGCCTTCGCAGCGCCGTGCGCCCTCCCCAAGAACGCCATGGAAGAAATTCCCTCCAAGCCCTAAAACCCCTGCCCACAAAATTTAGGGTTTATGGCGATGGCGATCGCCTCCAGCAGCAGCATTCGCGAGGGCGATGTGGTGATCGTCTACGAGCGCCACGATCGGATGAAGGCTGTGACGGTGCGCAAGGGCGGTGAGCTCCAGAACAGATTCGGCGTGTTCCGGCACGACGATTGGATCGGCAAGCCATTTGGGAGCCGCGTGGTGGACAAGAAGAAGGGCAGCGGCTTTGTCTATCTCCTGGCGCCATCGCCAGTGCTGTGGACGCTGGTTCTCAGCCATAGGACGCAGATCTTGTACCTCGCGGACATTAGCTTCGTTATTTGCGGGCTGGAGCTCCGGCCTGGTTGTGTGGTGCTGGAATCGGGCACTGGGAGTGGATCGCTCACCACTTCTCTTGCCAGGGCCGTCGCTCCCTCTGGTCACGTCCATACTTTCGATTTTCACGAACCTCGAGCTTCTCTCGCAAGGTGAGTTTTTCTCTCTTTTTCTTCCATTCGAGATGGTTTGTTCTTTGCATTCTTTCGTTCCGGTTTAGTCTACAGCGAGTGACAGTCTTTTGCACGATTCTAGCATTGGCTTTCGTTTCTTGATAGCATCATCTTTCTCTTTTCTTTTGCCCTTCCGAAGGAGATGTAGATTTCTTTCCAGACTTACTTCCTGCCTCTCTAGCCTTCTCTTTTGATCTATACTTTGGATTTTCACGAGCCTCGAGCTTCTCTCGCAATTCTCTTCTTTTTTCTACTTCTTTTGGTTCTTCCTGTGTGACAGTCTTTTGCACGATTCTGGCATTGTCTTTCCTTTCTCATATTTCTCTTTCGAAACTTACTGCCATCTTCACAGAGTTGTAGCTTTCTTCCAGGACTTACTTCCTGCCTCTCTAGCCTTCTCTTTTGATCTATACTTTGGATTTTCACGAGCCTCGAGCTTCTCTCGCAATTCTCTTCTTTTTTCTACTTCTTTTGGTTTCTATTCTTCCTGTGTGACAGTCTTTTGCACGATTCTGGCATTGTCTTTCCTTTCTCATATTTCTCTTTCGAAACTTACTGCCATCTTCACAGAGTTGTAGCTTTCTTCCAGGACTTACTTCCTGCGTCTCTAACTTTGTACTTTTTTTTCCCTTTTCTTCCTCTCGATACTAAAGGTGATCACATTTTTTTAACTTTTTCGGTAGGAAGGACTTTGAGAACAATCGCATCAACAACGTGACCGTTGGTGTTCGAGATATCCAGGGGCAGGGGTTTCCGGAAGAGCTTACAGACAAAGCCAACGCAGTTTTCCTCGACTTGCCGCAGCCATGGCTGGCGGTTGAATCGGTGCTAATCTGTCTCCGGCCCAATGCTTCGTGCTGCTCCTTTTCTCCGTGCATCGAACAAGTGCAAAGAACTTGCGAGGCATTCAGGAAGTACAACTTTGTGGGTATAAAGTTTTCGAAGTCCTACGCTTTCTAGACTAACTGTTCCGCTGCAGACATTCGAACGTTCGAGGTCCTGTTGAGATCATACGAGATTCGTAAGGAGTTCCTCACCGACATCTCGGTTAACAACGGCGAAGTTGAGGATGCATCGTTACCTCCACAAAAGAGAAGGCGCTCGGACTCGTCTGAGAAGCCGAGGCCGGACGGTGGTGATGCTCCCAACCCAAGCATTGGCGCGGTCATGGCAAGGCCTTACGCTGAAACCAAGGGACACACTGGCTTTCTCACATTTGCTCGCTGCCAAGTCTGAGGTAAGCTCTCTTGGTTTTTCTTGTTCTTTCTTTGGTGGGGTTCTAGACGATCTTTCAAGAGGAGCTATTTTTCCTAATCGACTTTGGTTGTTTTCTTGCAGTGGAAACGAACGCGAGCGATCCCTCGACTTCTCACACAATTTCCAAAAATCCCAAAAAAAATAACACTTTTTCATGTTATTGCTGCCGCTGCGATCTTGTCGTCGTACAAATGATACAAGGTTGGATTACAAGGTGATACAAATGATATTAGATGAAACAAGATTTTGGACCATGCTGTGAGAAGAGAGATTTATAAATTTTTCATCAAAATGTCGCTTTGGCCGAGTGGTTAAGGCGTGTGCCTGCTAAGTACATGGGGTTTCCCCGCGAGAGTTCGAATCTCTCAGGCGACGTCTTTCTATTTTATAGCTTTGGAGCTCTATCTTAACTTATCACTTTGCTTTTTCTCTCACGGACAAACTTGAAGTAGTAGTAGAAAAACATCACTCAGAGACCTCGACCCTGAGCAACGAGTTCCATACCTCTCTCGCAGATGGCCTTGGCGTCTTCCTCCTTGCCAATCCCCCAGTCGTGCATACTTCTCCATCGCCTTCTGGTGAGTCTCGTTTGAACGAAAAGTTATGCATTGCATTGCATCGGTTGCAAATGTTAAAACAGGGAGCGCTGGTTGTTTATGTTGCCAGAGGTGGGTTTTTTTGTCACACACACTGAAAATGCCGGAAAATCAAGTCCCTGGTAAAAAACGTTGGTTTCTATGCGGTCCTTTCGAGCTAGTCAACTAACGCTGACTAGCACTGGTCAAATTTGAGCCAACGGAAACTTATTCGGTGAGAATGTTCAACAACGGTCAACTACACAGGCTGAAGTTTTCTAAAAGTTCTAGTTGAGATCATACAACGAGTTCCCACCGACATCTCGGCCAAGGACGGTGAAACTGAGTTCCATCCCGCTTACTAACATTTTGAACTTTGTTTTTCGACACTGAAAGGTTTCATCCCGGGAACTTTCATCTCGCAAAACTTCCAAACGCTTTTTAGTTTCAAGATCGAGACAGAGTTGAGACAATCAAAACAGGATTCGCCAAAACACAAGCATAAAAGAACAAAGAGAAGAAGTAGAAGAACAAAGAACTGAAGGAGAAGAAGAAACAAAACAACTCCAAAAAAACCAAGTGTCAGTGACCAAGATGAGCAATGAGTTCCACACCTCTCTCGTTGATGGCCTTGGCAATGCAAGCCAAAACTTCACCTCCCACTCCATCTCCATCACCCTCCTCACTGCTTCCTTGTCCCCTGCGAAGTCCGTCAACCTTTCAAGGATAATCACATTGATCTAGAATCAAAGTGGGAAGAATTCCCAGCGATTTTAGATTTCGTTTAATAAAATATAAATTTATCTTTTGATTTAACATTCTACTATGTGAGAGCTTTAGAGTTGAAGGTTAAACAAAGCAGCAATGCAAGGTTGAAAGCCAGTTCTATATTCATTAACACATATATACTTTTACTACTTTAACACTATACATTCGCTTTGGCTGCAAACTTTGTCCAGCCAACATGAATCCCTTCGGCCAAAAGTGCCTCCAACTCCACGGGATGCTGCTGCTGCTCGCCTCTGTTCTTGCCTCCTTGTTGCATCACCTGGAAGCACTTAAGATACATGGCCTTGTCCACAAACTTGGGAGGAGCCCGGGGATTGCAAGCCTCGTCCCCACCCCGGGGCGCATAGAGATTGTTTGCGCCCCAAGGAACTATGGAGGTAAGCAAGTAGAGCACCAAAAGCCTCCCCACGCGTCCATTCCCATCCCTAAACGGATGAATGCACTCAAACTTGTAAAAGAAGCTGGCGCCAATGCTCAACAGCTTTGCAACCCTGAGCTTGGGATCTGCCGCAAATGCCTCCTCGAGGGATTTGTTGGTGGCTGACAGGAGCTGCTCCAAAGCCGCCGGGATCTTCTTGGGATCCATGTAGACATGCTTCCGCCTCTCTGTTGTCAATGTCCATGCCTCGGCCCTCCTAAACTCGCCCGCATCAACCTCGTCCTTGGTGTTCTCCCCGAGCATCTTGTGGATCCGGAGAATCTTCCCGGAATCTAGGCGTGGAACCTTGTCGGCCTTGGCCTGGGCGTTGACCCAGCACAGGCACCTGTACAGGTTGAGCGTTGACACGAGCTTTGGCTTCCTGTCGCCGCCAAAGCCATCGAGCGCAAAAGACTTTGACTGGTTGTACTGGTCAATGGCATCGCTGACCTCTTCCAGTGTGTCGAGCCCTTCGCCCTCGATGTTTGCCACTTGGAACACGAATTCTTTCACCATTGCTGTGCCCTGCTTGAGTGCGCCGCTCTTCTTTTTGTCGGGCAGGGATTCGTACCTCGCAACGCACTTCTCGATGCTCTTGATCGTCGCCATTATACCTGAAGCCCTAGTCTCGAACCTTTTCTATTCATAGGGGAGCCAACGGTGGGGATTCCAGCTTGAAGGAGCGTTCCAACGGTGGCGATTACATCATCATATCGACGGCCAGCGATCAATGCGCGCCAAGGATATATGTTTGGGGAGAAAGTAGGGTTCTTTATCCTCAGGGATGGGAAAGAAGAAATCGGGTGACCCAGCACCAGCGCCAACATCGGCAGATCCGGCTGTGTAGGAGCTATGCAAGAGATTGCTGAAAGCAAGCAAGAAGAAATTGGCAGCTGTGGATATTTCGGCCATGGCAAAGCATCCCAGCGATTTCCTCCTGTTCACCCTGGCGGATCGCCGAGGTCTGTGTCCTCGGTGCATTTTGCGAGGAGATTCCCAAGGTTTGGCATCGTCGCTTGGCTTGCGAGACCTTTCTTTTTCCATCAGCGTGCTTTTCTCTTTCCTCCGGAAGCGACAGGGAATTTTTCTTTCCTATGTGTCGGTTTTCTTGGAAGATCGCTTTGCTTTCCCTTGTGTGATTGTGTTCTTCGTTTGTTAGCCGTTTGTAAGCCGCTTTTGACGCTTCTTTTCGCCCAGTTTTGCAAGCTTCACGAGACGGTGGATTGGCGATAGCAGTAGCGCGTCTCGCTGTCCTTGTAAGCTCGTCCCGGAAATCTGGAGGCAAAGGTAAGTCTCACAATCGAGAGTGTTTGGATGGCATGCTATTTCTTTGCTCGGGCATCCTTTAGTATTTGTCCGTGTTTGTGGAAGATCACTGTGCTTTTCGTTGTGTGATTTTTGTTTTTTGTTTGTGTTCTTGGCTTCGTTTGCTAGTCGTGAGGCTTTTAACACTTCTTTTTGCCATACTGTCCCAGTTTCTTCACGAGACACAACCACAAAGTCCACAAGCTTTGCAACCTTGTACAAGTCGGCACGATCAAACGCACCACCACTGCTACCGTCGAGTCTCGCTGTAAGTAGCGCCTGGTAACATTCTTATGCCTAATGCTTGAAACCAGAAACGAATGGACATCAACTCGGAGACATGTCCAGTGAAGACGAGGATCGTCCCGGACATATGGAGGCGAAGGTATGGTTTCAATCGAGAGTGTGAGTTGCTTGGGTGGCATGCTAGTTTTGATCGAGAGTGTGAGTGAGTGTCTTCGGTGGCATTCTCGTCGCGCACTTTACCCCAGCTATATTTCTTAAACTTGGTCCTGCGAGCCACTTCTCACTAGTGCTGTTTGTTTGTTTCTCTACAGGTCTGAGAGAACGGGATTCTCTGAGTAAACTGCACCGGTATTTTCTACGATATTCATTCAGGTTTTCTTTGCTTTTTCTTGGTCTTGTGTTGGAGGAACGACTAAAAAACGTTGAGTTGCTGCAGGGCTAACCAGTTTTGGACTATTATTCTTACCGGCAGAGGCGGAGCGGGAGCGGGAGCGAGAGAGGCTAGTAGCAGCAATGGATGTCGTTGAGGGATGGGAGGTGGACAAGATCATCACCACTGACGACCTCATTGGTGTCTACGCTACTTTGACTGGTCGAGCGGATGGGCTGCGGCGCAGCGAGGCCAAGACGATGACAACAGGCGGGAGGTGGCATCACTGGAGCGATCGAGCGGTTGCTGCAACAGCTTGAAGAGGCTAGAGAAAGATATCGACGCGATCCCGATCCTCTGGGAGAAGCAGCCGTGGCTACGTACCTGTGGAGTGTCGCAGAGTTCTTCTTCAAGTTCGAGAAGGTGCACCCATTTTCTGATGGCAACGGGAGGATTGGACGTGTCCTACTTGCTTGGCTGCTGCGGGATTTCACTGCTGGTAAGCATTTTGTCTTTCGATCGGCGGGAGGAGGTATTCTATCTAGGGCTGCATATATAGCTCTGTTCGAGAGTGATGGAGGCAACAAGATGTTCACGGCTATTGTGAACAGCTTGCTGGTGAGTTAGATCATATGTTGGAGAGTTTCTTGTAGATAAGATATTTCGTCTCTTTCCTTGAATGTCGCTCGCAGCAGCGGTCTCCACTGTCGTCAAGCAGTACTTTAGCGCTTGCATGGTTCGTGGCTAGGTACCAGGGAGGGCGGCGGCGACGCCTGTGAAATCGCCAGTGCGAGTTCTTGTTTCCTGATGGACGAAGGCCAGATCGATCGAGGTACCCAAAGTTTCTAGTTCTGTGGACGCTTTGTCCTTGATAGATGATACTATGTTTGTGCTTGCGAAGAACTTCCAAAGGTTTTCCAGTGAAAGTGGACTAAAGGACCATTTTCGAAGGTTTTGTTCTTGACTGGAAGTTTTTATCTGACCAACGATTCTTGACCAGAGTAGGAAGATGCAACTGGCATGAGACTTTTTGATGCTGGCTCTTGTTCGTGACCAGTAGCTTGCGTGAGTTTGTTTATGTTTTGAAACTTTTGGATTTGCCTTTCTTCCTACCGGTGATACTTTGTTTGGAAAAATGGCGATTCAAAGTTTTTAAAGCTTTCAATCGTTGGCTGGAGACTGAGAGCTTTGGATGAGTCAAAGTTCTTGCGACTGAATGTCCGTGGACCAAGAAAAATTGTTCTGTTGTTCCAAGCACTCGAGTCAGCGAAACTAATTCAGTGACATGACATGAATGGTCAACAATGGTCAACTACACGCTGAAGTTTTCTAAAAGTTCTACGTTGATTGTTGAGATCATACAATCGTACATCTCGGCCAAGGATAGGGAAACTGAGGTACGAGACCAGACGGTGGTGATATTCCCTGTGATTTCCAAGCATTTGCACACTGAAAGCAAGGGACACACTGGTTTTCTCACACTTGCTCGCCATCAAATTTGAGATTCACATTTGTTCCAACAGGATCAACACGACCAGTGTTAAATGTACCCCAAGGGTTTTGATCCTTCAAAGAGCTAATCGATGTTTGTATTCCCATACACGTCCGTTATGCGGTCCGGCCAAGAAATCCCCAGCGTTGTTTCATGTATACATTGTCCCCGGCTTATTAT